TCAATATATATATGTATATACATTCTTTTAAATATAGAATCAGTGTATTATCATTGAAAAGTAGTGAATAAACATCTGGATGGTCTCAGATATAAATACAACACTGCAAATCAGTGAAATCTCACTGTAAGAATTAAGGGTAGTGGCTGTTTCAATCAGTGATATTTTAAAATGCGTCTTTATTATAATATTATATATGAAATAAATTTATAGCAATATATTTTGTTAAAAAAGATATTTGGATTTTCGACCAAGAATCTTGTCCACTTTTTGTAAGTTTATCATACTTTAAAAGTAAAAAAGTATAATATGAATATAATTCTAAATTTTTGAATGCTAGTTATACATGTTTTTTTTTTCAAATTTGTATGTGTGGGGCTTTTAAAAAATAGCAATTCAAAATAAATAGAAAATGCTTTGAAAGCTATATCTTGCAAATACATATGCGTACGATTGATTTTTCAGTGAAATCTTACTGACAATCAATGATACACATAGGACGGAGGAGTCAAGTATGAGTGTTCTCACTGAAAATTAAAATTTTGTGCTTCAATCAATGACATTTTCACTGATCAAGTTTAAGAGAGCGCGTTGAAGTATCTAATCTCGACATTCAAATAAATTATTCGAATATAATTCGAGATCAGATACTTTAACGATTAATAACTCTGCGATTTTGTGAATATATGCTAAATCCGCACTGCATATAATAGCATTGAAAATACTTGCATTCCCGGACATTATCGCGCCAATCTCACACGGGATCAAGTATGCAACGTTCTCGCTTTACAGAAGAAGGAAGCGAAGAATTGCCTTATATATGTATTTCACGAGCTCGCGCGCGCGCCAACAATCGTGCTAACGCGTGTTTAAAAAAATGCCGATCTTAACAAAATGGAATATATATGAATCCGTCGCTCGAGCGATCAGTCCACGCAAAAATGTCGCGACAAGTGCCGTCGTACACACTGCTGCACATTCCTCTCTTCCTCTGCTCGGCGATTATTTTTATTAACGGTGAGTATGCGTACCAGATATCTCGTTTTATACTCGTGCGTCCTTTTCGAAAAGGATACTATATATATCAATTTTTAATTATATTATAAACGACTATTATATTATCCTTGTACAAAATTATATATTACTATTCAAAATTTCTGTTCTATGTATTATATAAAAAACGTATATTTTCCGAAAATATCGCGTCAATATTTGAAGATTAACGAATTATAACATGCGCATCTCGCGATTATAATTAAGTTTAAATGATGGAATTGAAGAATTTATTTCCGTCTTGAATTAATGTGAAAGATTTGAAAATTACATATTTTTGAGATTTTGACAGTTCTATACGTTCTCTCTATTTTTTAAAAATAGTATTAAGATTTAAGGCGGTTTGTACGAGAAAAATTGGCTATGTAATTAATTTTTCTTTTCTTTGTAGCGAAATGTGTCGATAGCTTTTCTGATCACTGTTCGGAACTGGTTCAGTTTGATATCAACGAGATCGATGATCATTTGTCGAAATTAAATCTCACGGATGTACCTACCGTGAAAATGATGGTCGCTGGATTTAAGTGTCCGATCTCTGCTTTGCCTTTTGGCACGCTGAAATCGGACTGGTCCAGGCTGTTGCTGCTTCAAGAAGCTCAGCCAGACGGGTCGATTATCAAGCGTAAACTCGTCCGACTGATGCGCATTTTGATAGTCGCTTATTATCAAATGGAGGAATGTTTCGACGCGACGGATTCTGATGTGATTCGAGAGTAAGTCTTCATAGGTGAATCTTTCGATAAATTCCGATTCGCGTCTCTTTCTTTCCGAAATGGTTGTTTCATGAGATTTCGGCAGCGAGATTATATATATACCGCAATACAATATTATAATATTTGTCCCTCCAAATAATTAGTGACTCTTGTCGCGAGCGATTACACATATTTCGGCGAGATACGTTGAAGTAACATACGTTGTCTAAATATTTGATTTGCCGAGCGTGACGAAAGTTTCGTGAAAACTTGGCGAGTGCGAGAATCGCGTGATTCTTTGAAAATGAGCTTTAACAATTCAGCAGTAGCTTATTTGCTCAAGGTAAGTGCAGTAGGAGACACGTTCTCTTGTAATCAAACTCCCTCGAACTTAGTCCAGTACACGTTTCGCGTCTATTTAAGTTAGGATTTAAGCTAAGAGAGAGAGGAACTAAAGACAGCGAGAGAAGTTCTGGATGATGAATTTATCGGATCGCTGCCATTACCGGTCTTAGATCCAAGTTTTACGGCGCAAGATATTCTACCATGTCTTGCTTTACTTTGACAAATTTTTTGGTCATTTTTTTATTTTCCGATTGCCGTGCTAATATCTATAAAGATGTCCAAAATTGCTCTCTTAAATGAAATGAGTGTATTATCACGTGAAAAGCAGAGAATAGTCACTGATGGTCTCAATTATAAGTGTAGCACTGCAAATCAGTAGCGATAATTTCAATCATCATTAATATTTTAAAATGTATGTGCGTCTTACATATTATAATATTATATATGAGAGATAAATTTATAGCAATATTTTTTATTAAAGAAAGATCTGAGTTTTTTGATTAAGAATATTATTTATTTATATAAATTTATCAAATCTTAGAAAAGTGTAATATGTATATAATTCTCAATTTTTGAATACTAGTTATACGTGTTTTTGATTCCAGACATGTATATATGTGAGTTTTTTTTTCCTAAAAACAGCAATTTAAAATAAATAAAAAAGCTTTAAAAGCTACATTTTGCAAATAATATGTATGATTGTTACTGATTTTTCAGTGAAATTTTACTGTGCAAAATGTAAATGCTTATTAAAACAGTGAAAATCAGTAAAATATTCACTTATCTTCAATAAAATTTTGCCGCCCCGTTTTAATCAGTGACACATTTCCACTGATTCAATTTAAGAGAGTGTGAATCGTGTTTATTTCGATAGAGGAAAAATTTACTTTCTTATTCGGTCGAGAAAAATCTGTTTGTATAATGAGTCAAAAATAGACACCAATTCGATAATATGATTTCAGCAAATCTCTGAGGAAAGAAACGAAGACTATCGTATCGGATGATGTCGATAAACTGATGCTTAGTTCGAACAACAGCGACTGGATAAATGAAACTTCGAGTAACGACGTGACTCTTTATGATTCGCATCCGCAGTCGTTCCCGATAACAGTACCCGTCGAAGATGATCGTTCGAGAGTAGAATCCACCACGGGAATCGAGATCGCGACCGCAGAAAACTTTTCGAACTCCAGTGATGCGAACAGTGTCGTCCCGTTCGAGATCAAATTGAGATATCAAAACGTCACGTCGTCGACCGATCTTACGCCTTATCGTTCTAGCGATGCCCTCAACGCGAAAAATGCCACCTTTAAGGTACTCGATAATTGTTTGAAGCAGTCTTTGAACGATATCGCGCGCAAGCAACCGAATCGCAGCCAAGTTTTCGAAATCTTGAGGAATAAGGCAAAGTATACCGAGCGTGCGGCTCGAACGGGTAACGAGATCGACGATTACGGGAAATATCGCACCAAGATATCACCGCCGACAAACGAGTTCTGGAGATACGTGACGTTCCCTACGGATGCACCGCCAACTATCCCCGGCGTCGCAAAGCGAGTTCATCGAATGCGAAGATTAAACGGGTTCAGGACGAGCCTCCGGAAGTCGCGAAAACACGCGAAATCAGATGGCGATATTAACGAAAACTTGAGGCGATTTTACGGCATCGAGAAAAACGAAGCAGGCGTAAAGTGAGTAATCTTTTTACGTTACGACAAATTATCTTTTCATCTTAAAAGAGAGAGAGTCGAGATATTATGTTTCGCAGAATATAGTGGAGTGTGACGCATAATCTCCATTTTCTTTCTTTCTTAAATATATATTTTTTCTTTTTTAGAAATAAGTTTTTCAATCGGATAGAATTTTTGAAATAACGATTTTTCTCCTCTATTTATTTTCAGAAAATATACGAGCGACAGAAATAACATCGCAATCAAGCGCGAGGGAAAAAAGTGACAGGGTGACCGAGAAGTAATACAATACACGTCATTTCGGCATTTTGTGCAACGTCCTTCCACGATTTTATTATCCGATGGGTTGAGCTTCGCTAAACGGACAACGCTCGCATATATTTTGCGGCAAATCTCAATAAAATTGATCTTTCAATATATTTTTCCAGCGTTATTCTCGTACGAGCGACATTTGCACGAAATAGTTTCAAACAATTTTTGTACGTCGGTTTTGCACGCTAGTATAAATTCATGTACGACAAATTATATATATATATATACTTTTTCCCTCCCATTTCCACTGAAGCGATTGATTTAAATGTATTATTATACAGGATGCGCAAACATTTGTGCAAAAGAACAACATTATAGCATGTTAGATATAATTAAAATCGATCAATTGCGAAAGAGATTGTTCGAAAATTCAGTCCCATCCTATACAGTTGCGTAATGTAAATCATATAATGGTTTATTTATTTTATCTTCTCGTAATATCTCCCCTCCGCCCTGTTACCTGTTGTTCCCGCAAAGCACAGTTACTTCCATAGAACGTGGAACACGTTCAATCGAGGGCGGCACGTACGATTGCTCCACGACGTTTCAATATATCTATTCTCGATACCGGAGAAATATCGTCGTCTATCCCGCACATGTTGCACGCGGAAATATATACGAAGAATTCGCGGCCCCATAAGGATCAGAATTTATACGATGCGATAGGATACGCGGCATTATAATATATTCGGCATCGGTAACAATTGCGACCGAGTTATGCGGCGAGTTGAGAGTTTAATAAAAGCGGATCACACACGGTTTTACTGTAGCATCTCGATTAACGCGAAACGCGGGGGCTAATTTACGAAATAGCGGCGAGCGTGTTTCGCAAATGAATTACGGCTGATTTTACTGCGCGCGAATGAAAGTAAAAAACGTTTTGTCCGGAACGCCATTCGGAATTTATAAATAGAGATTCCTGAATTAATTTAATAAATGTAAGGGAAAATTCAAACGAGCGAAAGAGCGGAGGCATCGGCGAAGCATCGGCGGAGAAACATTACTTTTAATAATAGAACGCGCGGATCAATCGGAAACACGATAAAGAAGTTTGAAACTTATAACAGACGCTTGTAAGGGCGCGCAGTAACGGAAGGTGCGGAGAAAAGTAAGCTGAGAAACTAATCATGACCGCGAATTCAATCGCGGGATTTCCATGGAATCACTGTTTGGAATCGCGGCGGCATCGCTGCCAGACGCGCGGGGATTCCTCTCGCTCCTAATATTAATTTCAATCTACATAAATGCATAATAATAAATTCAATAGCGGCTCACGCGGATGTGCGCAATGTCGCCGAATCGGATATTACAGCATTCGGAAAATTCTTCTCGCGTTTGCGCGACTGTGTTTGTCCGGGGGTCTCTCGCGCTTTGCCCGAGTGTAAAATTTCTCTTCTTCTTAGATAAAGGAGTTTTGCATTAAAAATACAGCACAATCTTTGATTAAAAAATTACAGATTCTTAATAAATCTTATAAAGATTTATAATATAATCGTGTATATTTATAGTATAATTTTTCTTAATAAATCGATAGAGTTAAAGAATTTTCCAATTTATTATAGAGAATATGATAATGATAATAAAAGATTGGGAAATTCTTCAACTCTATTGATTTATTAAGAAGAAAAAAAACATCGAAAAGCAAGGAAGTGCTTATCCTTCGAGAGAAAAACCAATTGCCAATTCATCTTTCTGGATTTTATCATTCTTTAAGAGTTCACAATTCTTATGCCGCTTTCAGTTATGTTTTTAGTTAGAAGTTGTATAAGCAATTATTTATAATAAGATTGGGTTGCAGCAAGAGTTAATTTCTCTCTTCTTCGTTCAAATTGTTAGCTTAAAATTTCTGGAAAATCTTGAAATTACGATTCTTGAAATTTTAGTTTACGTGCTATCTCTCTTTTGACTATATTTTCTGGATTATATTTTTCGATTACCAGAAATTTAAATTTTGTAATTATCAATTATTTAAATGATTTGCAAAATATCAACATTAGTAAATTTCATTTTTCTAACTATCGACTGTCCATAAATACCGATAGTTGATAGCTTAGACACAACGGCAAAAAGTTGTCCCTTATTTGCTGATTATATTTTCCTAATACTTTTCTCACTTTTGAGAATAATTTTTCACAGATCAAATTATTTAATTTCAAAAATTTTTGGACTCCCAATTTTATATCGTGCCATCTTTTTGCTGATTCTCTTGATACTGTGCTGATTTTCATACTTTAAACTTTCGCGATTTCTAGGAAATGAAATTCTTGAAATCACTATTCTTGTGTGTGTGTGTGTGTGTGTGTGTGTGTGTGTGCGCGCGCGCCGTCTCTTGCACTATTAAATTGTTTTAATATCTTATCTATTTTTTGAAAGTTCTCTTAATAGTTTTGATAATTTAAATTTGTTTGTCTTGTATTCTTACAAAATACGCGCTTACGCAATATCATATTTGTTTTCCTTTTTTTCGCACTCGATTTCTAATTCACCTATTGATAAAAAGATAGGCAGATATTAATATTATTGATAAAGAAATACAATAATTATTAATAGCATATATATGTATCAATTTAATTACGATACCTACGTATTTTCGATTTTTCTATCGAAGGGGGCTATACTGCGTTTATTCGTCGAAATAATTGTTTTATTAGCTTTAACATAACAATGCATTTTAATATACAGTTAATTAATAAATGATGATTAATTACCATAATATTATAATTAATGTATAACAAAATCCATATATCAGAAATATAATGATATGCGATAATCAAATTTAATACGAGTGATCGTTTAGCTTTTTAACTGAACACATAATTTCATTTTGATTTCTACTAGAAATGTATTTATTGAGCGGGTCCACATTTTATGATATAAAACTCTATCTTAGAAATTTCATCTGACACGCTTTCGAAACTTTTGAGATTCAAGTAACGACTGCAAATACGGGCCTTAAGGACGTCGCAATGCGTAGATAATTGTTACTTATTCACAGGGTTGATTATAGTAATTTTCCTTGCTTTGCCCAATTTCCCTTGCTCGCGCTAGTCTCTTTATAACTCCGGCATGGAAATTAGCTCCAAGCTTCGTATCGCGTTCAGCAAAGACCAGCCGAGAGATTGTGAGAGTCGTCGGATAAAAGCAAGGGTAATATTTCAGTTACTTTTTACGGTTTCGTTGTTTTACTCCGTAACGGGAGAATATCTCGTGCCGCACGATTTTATCGTCAACACCTCTCTCTTGAAAAATGAATCAGTGAAAATGTCACTGTTTGAAGAAGTAGTAAGATTTCACCAAAGATCAATTTTCACTGAAAAATCAATTATTAACTAATTTTTTTCACAATATTTTACTATTTGCAATACTATATTTTTAATGAAACCGCTGTTTATCAAAGATGATACACACACTAATTCCATTTAAGAGAGCAGAATCGCATTGACAGAGTTCGCTATTGTTCACAGAAGATTATTTATTCGCGTTTAAAAATATCTCTAAACTTAATCCGAGAACACAATCGCCTTTTGATTCAGCTTAGTTACTCGATGTTTTATATCAAAGTTATTTTAAAATCGCGACGAGCGTCTTTTCCCGGCGATAATCCGGCCTTCGATATTAGTAATCTTTAATTAGTCGAAAGTTAGTTCATTTTGGAGTCTTGTTTTTGCACGCTTGATAGTCATTGCCGGTGGATAAATAAAGTATGATCTCGTGGATATTATCTTATAATTTCGCGACTTTGATCTTAGGATTCGCGGCCGTTTCAATTTTCGACAGTCATAGTTTCTCATAGTTTTCAAAAGTTCTTTTGGCGAAATGCGATTATGACCGCTGTGGATACGAATCTTGTATCGTGAACGCGAATGTTTGTCGTTGCTGTTGCGGAAATTGATTGTTGTGATGGTAACGGCGTTCATTCGGTTCGCGATGGTCGCAACGTGGAACGTGAAACAAGTTCTAGTAGTTGAGGAATAAAACCGAGAGTAATTATCGGCAAAAATTCCCGTTCTCCGCAAATTATATCCTGATATATATTACATAGTGATAGTTAAGAGATTATAGGATTTGTAGCGAATCGAAAAATAGAATACTTTTTAATATCGTTTAAAATTTATATTTGAACGAATAAACAAATAATGTTTTTTTGAAAGATCTGTGTTTTTAATAATAAAGTCAAGATGTATGTGAACAATTGTGAAACATATTGAAATAAAAGAACATTAAATGCTGTAATAAATAATCGGATAATAATCTACAGTGGCCAAAATTCAAAATATTGTTCGACAAATTATCTAAGATAAGCATCTTTAAATTTTTACACTTGTCATTTTCACGGTGATTTTTTACAAAATTCTATTTTTTCTCGATTATAAAAAAAATAAAATTTTGAAATTATAAGAACAATTCCTAAGAGAGTTCAGGTGTGTCTAATTTTGAAAGATAATTTTATTAAAAATCTCGCCAAAAATAACACACGTATAATAGAAAAAAAAAAATTTATTTTGGATAATTTAATGGTGGCTGATGGCACACACGATTATTTAAAACGCCTTTATTGTTCTCCTGTTTAAATATCCTTTGCATTCTTTTATCTTGATTTTATTATTACTAGAACACTATAAGCGCGCGCCGTCAATAAGATTCCTTTAATTCTTTGAAGATAATAAATAAATACGTAGAATTTTCGATATTTAATTCCGATGTTTTCAATAAATTCAGCACAAAATTAAAATATTTGAACATGCAATATTTAAAAGCACTATAAGCGCGCGCTATGCGCATTTATTTTGTGTGTATGTGTGTATAATTATTTACACATATTAACTCTAGTTCTCCGTTTCTTCAAAATAAATTAAATAAAAATTACACATACATTTAATATTTAAACTGTCAAATGTGTCGTTCAGTTATGACAGGCTTTCATTGATATAAAGTAATACATAGCGCAACGTCGAGATAACCAATCAGCATCGCAGAAAAGAGGTAACAAACTCTTGCGAGTATCGATTTAACATACCTTTTTTAAAGTGGATATCTCAATGAGAGTTGCTTACGGCATATTATTAGAATATTATATGTGTATGTGTGTTATATATAAAATATTATAAAATACGCCATTTAGTTTTTATAAATAATAATAGACAAAAATGATTAAAAAATCGCGATATCTCTTGCAATATTGGAGCGTAAGAATTAAGCGTTAAGAGTTTCTTTTATATTTCGTAGGATGCTACCCAGAAGTCTAAATAAAAAACCGGAATTGCGAAAAAATTTATCTTTAAAATATTTAAAATTAATTTAAAATATATACTTATATATAAAATTTAATATTTTTGTATATATATATCGCGACATCGCAAAATTAAATAATTAATATAACGATAAGTTCCGCGATACATTAAAATATCTCGTAAAATATTTAGTTTTCGATAATCTTACCGTAATAATTTTATGTACAAAGTGATGACACAAATCAAAGTAAAAAAAAAAAATAATTGTTTTTAAGAAAAAGTATGTAATTATTTATAATATATTTTTTTAAACAATTATTCGTTTTTTTTTTAAACTTTTTCTTCTAATTTAATTGTCGTTCGTTGTTTACTACAAAGTTATGAACAATTAAAGATAGTAACTGACTGATGTTTGGGACATATTTCTTTTATATCTCGTGAGATGCTACCCAAGACTCTAAATAAAAAACCGGAACTGTGAAAAAATTTATCTTTAAAATATTTAAAATTAATTTAAAATATATACTTATATGTAAAATTTAATATTTTTGTATATATATATATGTCGTAGTACGTGAAATATTTTGGCAGCGAATTATCAATAACATGGTATTCATTTTGGCGGCGCGGCGTACACATTGGCGCGTTATCATTTACGTACCACGACTCTGTTATCATTCGCGCGACGCGACACTCGAGCAAAAAAATAATCATGTGAGACGCTCCGTCAAATTCCTTCTCTAAACGCGATCGCGATCAATATCGGGAAATTATTTGCTATTATAATATAATTAATAATTAATTAACATTTATAAATAATATGTAACTACATATACAGGGTG